CCTGGCAGATAACAGCTTGGCATCGAACAGTTTAGCAAGGCAGGAACGCCGTAGGAAAAATAGCAACACCAAAACAGAGGGCCCAGCCCTCACCTTCCTTAGTCTCAGAGTATAAATAGCTGAGCCTGGTAATTACGCGGCACTTCTTGCTTCGTACAGTAAAAATAAAACAAAGGGCACTTGTAGCAAACACAGGTCTCCAGGAGCCAAAGCCACACCTCCCGCCTGTCCCACTTCCTGAGCCAGGCCTGGAGAAGGCAGGTGATTGGCAGAGAGAAATAAATAACACACAGATCCATGGAAAGCCACGGACCACAGCTGTTAAGGAACTCGGGCAAGGGCCCACTGCCCTTTCAGGGGTTTGCCTTTGCGCCGCCACTGAAAGCAGTGGGGCTGCAGCAGGGCGAGGGCAAAGGTTGCCTGAAGGCTCTGGCCCTGAACCCCGCCCCGCCCCGCCGCCCTGAGCGAGCATGGCGGGGTTTAGCCCGGCGCCCTAAAATCCCCGCTGCACCTCGGAAAGCTCGCCGGACTGGATGAGGGAGCCCAGGCTGCTCTGACCGCCCGTGTCCTCTGAATGTTTGCACTAAATGGGGATTTGTGGTGGTTATTGCTGCTTTGCCAATTAGTCCAACGAAAACGGCCTTCCCCAAGTGGCTGAGAGACACTGAGCAGAGATGTGTCTTATCATGAATGATACGGCGAGGAGAGGTTAGTGTGTGACAGCAGAGTGTGCGTTGCAGCCCTTTTACATGAATTCTTCACCTCTAAGTTGACTAGAGTTAGAAATGGCTTAATCAAGAGCATTATTATGAAGCATATAATCAGAATTATGGGGCTTGGAAAAGGTCATGTAATTCAGTGTCGTATTTCTGCACAAAAATTCTTGCTATTTATTAAAATCCATATGAATTACACACAAGTCATTATATGTACATAGATACACAAATTCTTTTTCGGGATAAATAAGCTTTTAGGTAATGCAGTTTGGGAATAAAGATTCTGAGTCAAGGATTCTATGATATCAAAATAACCAAGATCCTCCTTAAAATAAATGCAATGCATTAGAGAGGAGATTTGAGGAGATGTTGAAACACGTAATGCTAGAATACACGTGACTTCAGGAGAACAAAGACCTGCTTCCGGCCATTCAGGAAGAATGAGCCATCTTGTTCTGCCGAATAAGATGAACAAAGGATGTCATTAAACCCAACGACCTGGCTGCGGTTCCAACATGAGCTCTTCTGGGAGACCATAAAAACTCATACTTGAAAAAATCCTTCCTATCTCCCCTTCTTGGGCCTTGACTCTACAAGAGGGGGGTAGTCGGGCCTGAGACCTGCCGTCAACGTGGGCCGGCGAGCGCTCAGTGCGCAGGACCTGCCCGCCCGGACGTCAGCCAGAGCGGCTCAGCCTGAGTCCCCTGGGGGTTTCGCTTTTCTTTCCAGACATCCCAGCCTGCAGTGATCTGGTACATTAATCACGGCTGCTGAGAGAGACAACCAGAAGCTTGCACCTGGCGCGCTTACCTCGCCGGGCCAGGGCACGGGGCACGCTGATGGCAGAGGGGCCGGGCCCCGCCTGGGGCAGGGGAGGCGTGGTCGGTGGGAACCGCGTGGAAACTGGAAGAAGAGAATCCCTCTGGATCTTGGTTCCGCCTCCTCACAGCTGGGCGAGTCGGAGCTCCTGTTGGAATTTGCCGAAACCCAGAACGAGCCTCGGCTCAGGACTCCAGCCGGGCAGGACGAGAGCACAGTTGTCCCCAGGGCAGCCGGGTCGGGTCGTCCACGCGCCTTCAAATCATCAGAACCGTTTCCGCAGGACGGCATGATTGGCACCGACCAACTCAGTTAGCACACAATTCTCGGAATTTTTGTCATTCACAAAGCTCTGCAGCTCCTTCTGAAGATTCCGGGTCAGAGCAGTTCTCTGCCTCCCTCTTGGACACAATGCTCCGTTTCACCAGCCGGGGCGGAGAAGGAAGGTGCGCTGGCAGTCGATCCCGAGAACCAGGAGTTTTGGAGGCAGGAGGACGGGTCGTCCGCTGGGCCCCGCTCCCTCACCTTCTGCACAGCACAGAGCAGCGGAAAACGGGGTCTGTGTGGCCCCAGGAGAGACGAGGCGGCCGAGGGCGAGGGGCGACTGGCAACACAGGGCCCCGTCCTCTGTACCCCGTCTACGGGGCAGGCACTCTCGATACAGCTGTGCGCCTCAGAGAACGATCAAGGCCCTCAGGCTGTCTGGACACCGGAGTGGTTAACAGGGTCATCTACAGGGGACAGCGCCTTCACTGCCTCCCCAGAACTGCGGCTCCCACCCACGTGCCTTCCAGAACCTGTTGTTTCCCATCACTGCAGACCCCCTCCGCCATCCCCATCCACCGAGGCACCCAGCGTGGGCGCTAGACTAAAAAGTGATCTTTCCCACAAATGCCTGTACCATTTTCAACCTTATTTACATGCTAGATTTATTCATCATTCTCTCAAGTCATTGAAAATTGTTAGATAAAATACAAAGAATGAAAACTCCACTTTGAGGAACAAAGAGGCTGCGAGGAATCACGCAGGGGCCGGGGGGGCGGGCAGTGGGAGCAAGGGTGCCCAGGACTCCCCCCCGCATCCCCGCCGGGTCAGGGAAAGCCCCGCACCCGGCCCAGCTCCCCGGGAACAAGCGATGGGCCAACGCTCCGCGGAGGCCAGCAGCCGAGAACCCCGTCGAGAAGAAGCTTGGCTCTGCGGGACGGACACTCTTGGGAGAAGGCGCTGCCTCCGGAAGGTTCCGACAAGGGTGTAGAATCAACACGCGCTCCACCGGTCCAGCAAGGAAGCGTGAGCGAAACTTTCGCTTCGGGGCCCATCCCAGCGGGAGCTGGGCGGCAAGGTCTGACCCAGGCGGTGGAAGAAACGCAAGCCCCCCCCCGGGGCATGAACTAGAAAGGCCCCGCGGCCCTGTTGCATGGTGAGTGAAAGTTCACGACGAAAGAAAAATCGTGAGTGTGTGAGAAACAGCGCCACACGCACACGCCCACGGCTTCACTTCCCTTCAGCCCCTGGACTCTCCGCTCCAGGTCACAGCCGGTCCTTTCAAGCGAATGGTTTCCATTTGCGGTCGGCCCTGGCCATCCGCTCCTTTTTGCCTTAAATCTGTTCTGTTTGGGTTCTGTTTCCTCCTCATTGAAAAGGCCTCTCCAGCTCCTGCCAGTGACCTCCTTCTTGCCAAGTCCCATGACCTTTTGTCCTGTGTCACCTGTGACCAGTGCCAACCTTGACGGGGCCTTAAAAGCCTCTTTTTCCTGGAACTCGGCTCTGCTGGGTCTTTCCCAGTTTCGTTGGCTGTTTCGCATTCACCCTTCCACTGCCTCCCTCACCCAGCAAGCACTTACTGGGCGCTGAACGTTTGACTCTTAAAATACGCTGCCGTCGGACAAGAAACAGCGGTGGGTTTGGACCCAGGCCGGCGGCGCGGGGAAGCAGGGGTGAGGGGAGGCGTGCGTGGCAGGCGGGGGTCAGAGTAGGAGAGGGAGTCATTCAGTCCAGATGTCGACAGGGACATCAGGTTCTGACGCTCCGAAAACTCCGCCACGCGGGGCGTGTGCTGCTGATGGACGCAGGCCCCCGGCCGCTCGCTTCCGAGGCTTGATCTCTGGGCGCGCCCTCCCTGATCCGCGCGCGCTATGCTGGCATGTACGGACCCCACAGCAGCACCTTCTCAGGAAACCCTCCGCTTTTTCTGCCTGACCTCTGGCCTGGGACCGCCTCTCTGTGCCTCACCTGCGACGGGGACTCGGTCACCCTCACGGAAGGTGACTTCACACGCTTCGATCGTCATCCTCTCACAGGTTCATGCTGAAGGCGAACTTTTGGATGGTGACAACGGCAACGGTGACGTTGCCTCCACGTGTCCCATGTGCCCCACGCCGTGACGAGCCCCACGCCGTGACGAGCCCCACGCCGTGACGAGCCCCACGCCGCGCCGCAGTCGGCCATTCTGTGCTTGTCCTTACTCCACGGTCACGCGGGAACACGCAGACCCTGGCCCGGGGATCGTGGCTGCCCATCCGGATTCTGTCACTAACCTTGGGGACTCTCTGTCCTTTAAAAACACTTCATGTTTTCTGCAACGAACTTGTATTTAATTAAGTCACACTAAATTCGTACGTAGAGACAGGATTCATTCTCTTGTCATTGAGAAAACTGTCAACGAAACAGCTTCCGTGGACGATAGGAAAAATACAGGCTGGCTGGAACTGGGAGAGGAAGTGTGACCAAGTTCTGGATAAATGCTGGGATTATGCGAGCAAAGGAAAAAAATGATTTGCAGGTTTTCTTTGGCAACTTGGTTCTTAATATTCCTGTATGTGAAACGGTATTTCCTTCCAAGTCCCCAACCCGATTCCGTTAGCTCCTGTCCTCGGCGAGCCGGCCCCGGGCTCTGTCTCCACTCCTCTTCTCCCCAGTCTACCTCCAGGCTTAGCTCAGGAGTGGGAGGAAGTGCTTGAGCAGAAGACGCACATTTGCTGAGGAGACCCACAGGCGCGGGGCTGGCCCAACCACGGGCCCTCCTGGTGGAGCTGGACGCAACCCGCCCGTCTGGCAGCGGGCGGGTGCACGTGGTGGGGGGGAGCGCATGGCCGGGCCGCGGCGGGAGGCCCGCCCAGTGCACCGACGCGTTTCCCGCTGTTTGTGTTCCGCGTGTTGCTAACTTCAGTGTTTGCACAGCTGAAGGAGAGGAAGCACCCTGAGAATAGACACCGGGAGGAACTCTAGTGGTTTGCAAACCAGAAAGACATGAGCTGGAAGAGGGCCAGCAATGCTTTGGGACAAGGAGCGCAGCCAAAGCGGACCTAGCGCTGGGAACCCGGACTCCACGGGGGATCAGGAGGGGCAGCGTTGAAATCAGCTTCCTGACGCTGCTCAGCTCGGCTGCCCCATTGTAGCCGGGAGGTGTCCGCGCCCGGGCAGTGCGAGCCTTCGGGGAGAGGCCCCTGCGCCAAGAGGCGCATCTCCAAAGGCCTCTGGACCAGACGGAGCCAGGGCTCCGTTCCACCCCCGTATCTGTCAGGTATGAGGAGAGGGGATGGGATCTCTCAGAACCTCAGTGTCCTCAAGCCACACCAGGGTGACGCCCGGCCTGTCCGAACCGACGGGGCCTTTGCGGCTCCCGGTCCCCTGGGTGCCCTTGGCCCTTCCCTGCGATGAGCCAGCCGCAAACCCGTCCACGCGTCCTGCACTGCCTCACCGGGGAGGGGGGCGCGGTCGCTACAGCCCGGCTGGCGACCGACCTGCCTCCGGACGGCCGCTAGGGAGACCAGCCGTAGGCGGGCCCTCCTCCGCAGAGGGAGACGGCCACCGTGGCAGCGGGGCAGGCCGCCCGGCCGCCCAGGAGAATGGACAGCCCGGCCCGCACGCCCGCGGGCAGCTCAGCAGGAGGCGCCCCGCCGATGTCCCCCTCCCACGTCAGGCCGGGCCTGAGGCCGGGTGCGGCCCTGTCTGAGGGACGCGTGCGTCGGTCCAGAACTGGGCCCCCATAGCACTGATGTGCTGTCTGCCGGTCTCTCGGTCGGTCAGTCCCACATCCTGCCCCCGCCCCCGCATCTGGCTCTGATCTCTAACTGCCCACAGCCACCGAGTATAGACTGAAAATGGGACGAAGGGAAACAGGGTTAAACACAGGTGCCCAGTCAGATCTGCGTGGGCCTTGTTGAGCAAGGCACTGGCTAAATAAGGCTGCCTTTCATGGGTCCCCACGGCGTGGCTTTTGGCCAGGTGGTAAAATCCACCTTATTTAAGCTTTTCTGTTTTTGCAAGGGGGGAAGGAGTTGCCTGTGCAACCGTGACAGCTCCGGCAGTGGAAATAGTTTGGGTGCGGGGTGGCCATGCTCTCCAGCTAACGACCTCCTGCTCCAGCCTCCCGAGGCGCCGCTGCGCCCTGAGCACGCCCTGCTTTCGCCCCCGAGAAAGGCCCTCATCTCTCACACTTTGCACAGATTAACTTCACATGCCGAGCGCCCTGGGGAACACAAAGGATTCTTCTGCTTAAAGCGGGGTTAGGAGGAGGCGTCCAGGACGAGAATGGCCAGTAGGGCAAGACAAGTGTGAGCGCTGTGACCCTGGGGGGGGAGGTCAGAGGCTCCCCTCTGGGGCAGGGGGCGGCCCTGGGCCTCGGGGGTCGCGGGGTGGGGCTGCGGACAAGGGGTGGTGGTGAGCAATAGACAAATTGGAGGGGTGCTGAGGCGGGAGGAAGCCTGATCCGGAGGAGGCCTCTGGGCAGGCGAAATAGAGCTCCGTTGACTGGGGCTCCGTTCACGGTGGAAACGGCCGACGGAAGGCGCTTGCTGAGGCCACGCACGTTCCCGATAATGTGGAGCCTTTGTGCCGGGAGCACGTGGAGAGCAAGTGCTGTCCGAAAACCACAATACAGGGCGTGTGCTCCTTTTTCAAGGACAGACAGTAACCAGAGACCAGGAAGCTATCCGAGGGACGCACGAGGAGCTTAAACACTAAGGCACAAGGGTTTCAAGTGTGATTGAACAATAAAATCAAGTAAGCGGCTATAGTCTTTAAAACACTTAAAATAACTCTCTTTATTTTGGAAACCAAAATTAGCATGAGCATTGCAACCTGTCAAACTGAGAAAAACACAAAATTGAAAACTTCTGAAGGTGACCAGAGAGGAAAACTGGGGCTTTCTGAACGTATTCTTATTTTTTCCTGAATAATTTGGTGATTATGCTAAGGTTCTAAATTCTTTCATATTTCAGGAATAGTAATAATACATAATAGTATTAAACTTCTATGAAGTATCAGACATTTCTAAAATTATTATATGGAGAATGTCCATGACACTGTGTGGTAGAAACTGTACTCTCCATTTTATGGATGAAAAAACTAGGAACTTAAGAGACTAGCTTAATAACATACCACAGTAAATGCTAAAACCTGGAATATAAAGACCACCGAAGGGTCTTAAGAGGGAATTTAAATATGCAGGCTCTGGCAAAATGGTTTTTCTTCGGAAGCTAATTACTACCTTCAATGCGAACTTTGGCTCAGAAGCGTTGGCAGCAGGTTAGCTTACACCTGCCATCTGCCACCTTGAGCTCTCGGTCCTGTGACCAGACCCGAACATGTAAAACCTACCTCTGCCTCCTACGAAACAACTTCCCTCCTAAGCGGCCACCGGAAGACTGTCCACTTTTCACAACGCTAATTCCGCCCAAGGATTTGCCGTAACAGGAAGAGAATCCCGAGCCCCTGCCACGCGCTACGGCGCTCTGCCGCCAGTCTCCCTCCGCCCCCGCCCGTTTGTTCAATGGACGCTGTGCGCCGCCGTGGGCTGGACGCGGTCCTTGCTGCTGGAGACAGAGACAAAGCCCAGGCCCTTAAGGAGGTCATATTTTAGTGGGAAAACAGATCCCAGACAGCTGGGTGAGTGGACGGATCAATAGATCGACAGATAGGCAGGCAGGTAGATAATAGATAAAAATATGTGACTATGTTCGTGTGGCAAAAACCGAGTGTTGGCTCCCAGCAGCCATGCAGCTGCTTTGTCGGTAAGTTAACCTCTGCGTTTTAGCCAGGCCCCTGGTGCGCAGAAGAGTCAGCGTTACAACCCGCCCTGGGCGAGGCGTGGCTCTCTAACCAACCTTGGGCCCGCTCAGTCCCCTGGTTGAGTCCGAGCGAGGGACCCTGCCGTCTGAGGCTCAAGGATAAAGACCGCCGGGCCCCCGAGCCACCCACTCCCCACTCCGGTCTCTCCGCCGCACCTCGGGGCTCAAGCTGCCGGGAAGCGCCATCCGAGAGCAAGGTGGGTGCCTGTTCCCGCCGGGGAAGGGGCTGGGCGGTCAGGCCGCGGCCTGACGCAGCGATGGTGTGCCTGCTCCCCGCCTTCCGTGTCCTGCCGTGCGAAACCCAGCCACGCTGCCCAGGGCCGGAGCCGCCGCTGAGGCCCGAGGGCCACGTTCCAGGGATGAGGGAGCGACCTCAGCAGGCGGCCGAGGTCCTGACGCACGGCCATCACACCAATGCTACACGAAGTCCCCCGGGACTAACCTTGGGTAGGAAAATGGCTTCTTTACAGTGTCTGTGCTTTGGGTGTTTCCTGTCCCTCCCATTTGACTTAAATCAGTTAAGTGGCCACTTAGGAGAGAAGCTGTTTTGTAGGAGACTGAGGCAGGTTATACATTTTTGTGTCCGGTCACAGGACTGAGAGCTCAAGGTGGCAGGTGGCAAGTGTAAGCTAACCTGCTGCAATCGCTTCTAAGCCAGTGTTTGTGTTGAAGGTATGCATTAGGTTCCAAGGAGAAACCATTTTGCCAAAACTGACAAGATATATGAAAATACAAAGGAACGTGAAGCGGAGGGAGGGGTTCAAGGGCCCCCACGGTATTTCAGACAGGACACCTCGGGAGGCCCCGGGAGACCCGTGAGTCACGCTCGCATGACAGAGCCACCAGGGCGGGGAGAGGCCCGGAGACGCGCGTGCTCTGGGTCCCAGGAGCTGCGCGGCCGCCCCCTCCCGGGCAGGGACCCTCGGAGGCCCGCCGGCCGGCGGAGACTGCAGCTGCGTGGGCTCGGCCCTCTGCGCGGCCTCTTCAAAAAGCGTGGCCCCCCGCGGGTGCCCAGCCTCATTCCGACGCCCCGTGACTCAGCCCCTAACGCCCGCTTCAGAGCGCGCCCCGTCTCCCGAGCGAATGTCGCCCATTGTCCCGGCCCAGCCGAGGGGCAGCTGTACAGGTCCACCCCACGTCGCTCGCTTCCTTCTTGAGATCCCGCAGGTGTGAGGGCCCAGGCTTCCGCTGGCATCGCCCGTCCGCTGTGCCGTCTCAGTTAAGACGTGGCCTTAGAGCTACATCTTAAAAAGCCTTTCAAATCCCACTTGGCCACCGTCCCTTCCAACGGAGGGAGCTCCACGAGGACCTGCGTGAGGGCACCTAGCCGTCTCACTGAGCGAAACACAATGGAGAGAACTAATCTTCCCCTGCTCCTCTCGTTCGCCAGGAAGATATGAGTAGCTGAAGTATTCGGTGCTATATATAGTCGGTTGATGTCAGCTGGAGGCCAGTCTTTTCAGAAAGGCTCAGTCCCCTGATTGAGTCAGAGCGAGGGACCATGCCGTCTGAGGCTCAAGGATAAAGACCGCCGGGCCCCCGAGCCACCCACTCCCCACTCTGGTCTCTCCGCCGCACCGCGGGGCTCGAGCTGCCGGGAAGCGCCGTCCGAGAGCAAGGTGGGTGCCTGTTCCCTAAAATGTTTTATTACTCAGTTGTCCCAGCAGGTTCAGAGCTGTGACTCATAAATGGGCATTCTTTGCTTCAAAGGACAGCTGTTGATGCCAATTTTAAAATGTCGCCGCCAAAGCGCTCTGGTTCAGTCTGGTGTCCTCCCTCCATGCTCGCAGTTTGCCGGGCTCGATGTGCTGCTGTGCGGGGACACTGGTGCGACGGGAGGCCAGCGGGGAGACAAGGGCGGGGGAGCAGGCTGGAAGGAGAAGGGGGCGGGGGCGGGCGCGGGGGCGGCCAGCTCTCTCCCTGCTTCCCAGGGCCCGACGGTGCCCCAGACACGCCTGCACCCTGGTCACTGTGACGCTGGCCGTCTGTGCGCCACAGGCTCTGTCTCAGGCCAGGGGCACATGAGAACGTCTTTCAGCGGAAAGCAAGGACCCTCTCTCCATAAAGGACCAAGGTGCTGCCTTTGGAAAGGACGGGTTCCTCACGCTGCTGCGACGCTGTTTGCTCCCGCAGGGCACCGAGAGCGATGCTGTCGCACAGCGCCATGGTGAAGCAGAGGAAGCAGCAGGCGTCCGCCATCGCGAAGGAGGTCCATGGACATGGTACCAGTAACACCCTGGGTGGCGTGAACGTAGCTCGGCCCTAACGCGCCCTCCAGACGTGCGCGTCCGTCGCTGACGTCCTTTACATGCCTGGGCTCCCGTCGCGGCGGCCCGGGCTCCAGGGGGTGGAGAAGCCCGTGGGAGCTGGTCCCTTTGTAGTCATCCTTTCTCATCTGGAAGCTATTTTCAGATGAGCAACTGCCGGGCAGGAATGGAGCCGCCGACAGCTGCGGCGCGGGCTTGCCTTCCGCCGGCCGAGGGGGCACCTCCCTCCCTCCGTCCTGCTGCTGCTGCTTTCTGGACGGGCCTCCTGTTTGTCTCAGTGTTCGTCCCGTGTGGCAAACACTGGTCTCTTCTCCCTTAGAGTACATACACCATTCAGCATATCTTCTACCTTCCTGTTTATTGTGTTACTAAAGCCATCACGTTGGAATTCATAGTCCTTGTATAACGTCTCTGACCCGGAAACCAGTCATCATATTTAGTAATTAACTTACTGAGATAGTTTGTGTAGGAATCTGCTTTAATTTATAATTTTTAGGAAAATAAGAAGTTCTTGTAGCCTCAAAGCCTATGATTCAAAAAAAATTTCCAGTATAAATGAGATGCAAGGTGATAGGCCCCTCTCTCCTTTTCTTTGAGTTCTAGCAAAACTCTCAGAGAGCGATGCCCTCTGTATTGCATTTTGGTTGTTATAAAGGAAAGTCAGCTTTGTTCATGAGCCAAGGGCGGTGTTGATGTTCCAGGAAGGCGAGTAGCGTGTCCTTTTAAGGGCTGATTTGAGCCACTCCAGAGATATATGTGTGGCCCTCAGGGCATCCCTGTCCCTGCTCCATGGACAAGGAATGGCACCTCCCACCTGAGCTGTATTGGGGCCTAGACGCATGGGACCGGGAGGGGCAGTAGGGACAAGCTAGCGAGCGCCCTCCCCTCCCCTCCACTCCCCACCCCTCCTCTAGAGAAGGCGGGCTGGGCCAGCACGGGCTGGCTACTACTGACGCTGCGGTCCCCAGACACTGCGCCTGCGTGGAAGGGGCCCCGTGGCGCGGGTGCCGTTCTCTGTGGCACCAGAGCAGCGCGCCGGACCCGCCCCTGCTCCAGGGTTCTGTGGTGTCCACCGGCTGGGCCTGAGGTGGGGATAGTTCTGAATCAGGGTTCAGATCTGAAATCAACCCCAAGTCTCAAAATACATGCTTCTTTACAGTTGGTACGTTTCTTTGCATTTGCTGCTTCAGGTAGTTTACTCGAAATTATTTTTATAGTTTTCGTGGTCGAGATGATCTCTTGGGCTTGAGACTGCATTGTCAACCTTAAAGACCTGAGATAAGTTCTCCTATTCTCACTGCATCCGGGTCATAAACCCGTTGGCCCGTGTCATGCATTCCCAGTGAGATCATTTGTTGGGTCTCACTCTACGTGAGCCCAGGCATGGACCTACGAGGAGGAGAACATCTTCTTTTTCTGTCTAGCCTAGCTTTTGTGTTAATGAAGTATAAAAAAATGCAATCATATCTCAAGGAGGGGGAAGCCCCTCAACACGGCAGGCTCAGCCCCAATGCGTCCTGGCCGTGTGAAGTCCCCCTCTTGGTCGTGGGGAGAGCCCCGCCCGGAGAGTGGAGTCACATGTCCTGCCTTGGCTGGAGCGCAGGGTCCCAGATAACACAGGGACCGTCAGACGCTGCCCAGCGCACCTCCCGTGCTGCCGCCGTGCGTTGTGCCGTGGTCCCGCTTGGCCGCTCTCCCGCGCCCTCTGACCCCCGACCCCGTGTTGGGGGCCTGGAGCTCAGGCGCCGCCGTGTTTCTAAGTTTGTGGGAAGGAGACCCGGCGGCAGGCAGACTGTCCCGGGCACTGCCCTCCAGACGTTCCCGCTCGCACGGCCCGGCTCTCGGCCACGGAAGACGAAGCCTGCCGCCGCGTCGGTTCAGCCTGGATGCCATTCAAACTGGGACAGATGCAGTCACGAGGGGACTGGCTTGTCTTTTATAAAAATGCGCAGAGAGGAATGTTTTCAACGCCCTTCTTCCCTGTGCACCAGGAGGTTTTGGTAGTATTATAAGTGGTTTATTTTTTGCATCCCTTTTCAGAAAAACCAACCAGGTAGCCTGGAGGGGAACAGAGTGGGGTAGTGAACTGCCTTCTAAACATGAGGCAGAGGTTCAGTCCAGTCCTTGTAGGGGAGCGGGGCGGGGGCACGGCTGGTGAGCCGCTGAGACCCGTCGGTAGAGAAAGAGAAAAATCAAGCAACAGTTTCACACCAGAGCAGCCCCCACCTGCGGGAGAAACCGCCTCGAGGAGTCGCTGAGGAGCCCTCTCCAGGCGGACGGAGACCCGCGGGGCTGCAGGGAATCGGTGAAAACGTCTGCTCCCAGCCTCTGCTCACGGCGCCCCAAACTGTGACTTGCGCTGGACCCACAGGTCCGGTGTCAGCTCGTGTCCCAGAAGCGCACGCGCCACACTCGCGACAAATAACTTACAAGAAGTGTCTGTGACCCCAGAGCCGTGTGCTTCGGACGGGTCGTCCTCCTCGCTGTGACGCCATCATCGTCGGCCTTAGGGCGGTGGAGCTGGCGGGGGGCCGCCTTGTGTTGCTGCGGCGACGGGACGTCTCTGTGCTTTGCACGGACCTGTCGGAGCCCTGTCACTGCCATCTAAGTGCTGCGCTGAGACAGGCAGGAGCGCAGCAGCCGCGTGCCATTGTCCGCGAGCGCGCGGCAGGGGCGGGCGAAGGCGGCCGTTTTCCCGAATCTGGACTTGGTCTGCTGTGCTAACCGGCTCCGTTCTCTCAGGAACTCATCTGAGGCTTGACCCCTGCGGGAGAGAGGGGAAGGGTGAAAGGGTGCTGGCAGACAAAGAGGAGCGGGGATGGATGGAGGAGAGGTGCGAGCACACTCGCATTGGTCCAGAAGCAGGGGGCAGGGCCTGGGGATACAGCACCGCCGAGGAGTGGCCGCGTGACGTCCCTGTTGTAGGGACAGGTGCTGCTCGCAGTTCAGAAGGGGAGCTCCAGGAACAGGGAGACCCCCAGGGCCTCTGAGGCTGCTTCCGGGACCCTCAGCTTCCTCGCCAGGGCCCTGTGGGGCTTTCTTTTCTGTTTTGATATGTTTCTGTTCTTGTTTTTTTCCCCCGTGACTGGTGAGCGGCTTTTCCCAGCACCAGGGGAGAACCGGGCAGGCTGCTTCAGGGACTTCAGGTCGGGGTTCGCTGGGGGCCCCAGGACTCCAGGCCGTCCCTGGGGCGAGGGGCCCAGGCCGCACGGCAGGCGCCCTGTCCTGAAGGGAGCGGCGGGCTGTGCGACGCAGCGACCTCCCCGCGGCCGCGCCGCCGCCTTCCCGAGCTCGGCCCGGAACACCAGCCGACTTGAGTTTCCCCAGCAGCAGAGGCAACGGCCCTATTGACAGGAGCTGCAAGCGCTTTGGAAAGTACGGAGGATGGAATGTAGCTTTCAGAAGGAAGATTGTGCGAGGACCCTTTCACTTGTCCTGTGTGAGCACATCTGAAGTAATCAAGCCCCATCCCAAAATACGGACACCAGGAAGGCCTTAAAGTGCCACAGAGCAAAATTTGGGGCAGAAAAATAACCTAATGTTTTCATGTACAAGTTTGTTAGGTTTCTTTGGGTTTAAAATTTCTCATAGCTCTAAAACAAAGGACATTTTCCCTCTGAAGTCGGTGGGCGGGGACACCCTGTGCCCTGGCCGGCACCCTGAGCGCCGCGGGCCGCTGACCCTCAGGACGACCTCCAGGAAAGCGGTGGCGCAGAACTGGGCCAGGGCGGGTTTCCGCCAAGGCAGAAGTGACAGTGTCCAACGCCGGCCGCGCTGCTCCCCGCTCCTCGTGTCTCTGGGGTCTTCACGCTCCTGTGCGCTGGGTGTGTGTCCGGTAAACAGGGCTAGCGGTTCTGTTTGTGCAACGCAATACGTGGGTGACCTCACTTCTTGAATGTCTGCAGATTTACACAGCCACCAAATGATACCATTTTAATTCACAGTAAATTTTTGAGAACTCTGTAAAATAGCCTTAGAACTCAAGTCAAGGTGAAGAGATATAGAGTAGGAAAACCAACAATCCCAGATGGGTTTCAAGATCAACTTTTTAATAGAGCGGGAATTACCAACATTCTTTTGCTCGACTGCAGTCTCTGCGACATCGTTCGCAGTTGCAGCCCGGACTGTCCTCTTTTGTACCGTACGCGGCACTGTGCGACAACGTGCATTTCAAGGACCAGCACTCAGCCCGCAGGGGCTGCCTGTCCGGGGGTCGCCCTCTGTGGGGGCCCAGAGAACCCAGAGGCCTCGGCCAGGCTGCCGAGTGAGTCCCCGGGGTGGCTGGCCGGCAGCTGGTGGCGGGGCCCCTCCCGGGGCCTGCCCGTTCCGCCGAAACTGGGGCTGCCAGGGCGTTGTGGGGAGACAGTTCGGAAAGCCCCCTCGTCTTACTACGGTCATTTGTGAGCGGGTGTCTTTCCAAAGTGTGAAGTGCATCCACTGATCGACCTAAACATGTAACTTGGGCAGGATCAAAATTTCCGATCAAAAATACAGACCTGCTTGACCACAGAGAAATCTTGGTTGACCCTGTTTCAGAACCGTCATCTCTGAAACTAACGTGAAAGCAAGACGTTTCCGATTGGAGGGACTTAAGCCCAGTGTGTGCTCCTAAGACGGGAGGCGCAGCCCGGGCTGGAGAGGCGGTGGCCCCGCGTTGGTCGGCGATGGCGGCCCTCCTCCCGGAAAGGGCCCTCTGCCGCTGGCTTCTCGTCCTCAGGGCCATGCGGCCCCCGGGGTGAAAAGGAGAAGCAGCGTGTCCTCAGAGATTGAAATCGGTGAACGCTTCAGTGCGAGGTTTTAAATCTCAATTCAGCTACAAAAACATTGTGCCTTTGAGGACACTACTGAGAAAGAACATGGGTAAGAATTATTTAATGTGTTTAGGAGATGAAAAACTATTTTTTTTGTGGAAATTAATTTGATTACCGTCAAGACCCTAAAGTTTTATGTTGATATCCTTTTAATTAAAAGGATATCCTTTTAATTAATCCTTATAATTAAATATTTATTCAAAGACAATCACTGATCTCCTTGAGAGAGTGGCAAAATATTACACATGGAGTTTTATAACATGATTAAAGAATAAATGGGAAATTCTGGATCAGTACCCATGACATCAGTAGGAAAGTATGCCTAGCAACATTATTTTCAATAGATGATCTAATGTCACAAAGGCAACCTTCTAACGCAGGAGGTCAAGGATGTGTATCCTGAATAAGTTATATCATTTATCAGGCATTCAGCTCACGCATGCGGCCACGGCCCTGCATGGGGGCTGCGGCGACGGGCCAAGACCAGCTGACTGTGGCTCCGCGCGCCCAGCGGACGGCCCTCACCCGGAGAGCGTGGGGGATGAGCACCCTCCGTGCGGGAGCAGCCCCCTCGCAGCTGGGCTGACTCCTGACTCCACAGATTTAACCGTTGGAGGAAGGGAAGAAAACCTCGGGGAGTTTATGTCTTCTGTCATTTTGGTTGTGCCAACCAGGCCGGCTGAACACGGGCTAGTCAGCGTGCTGCTGGCCCTGGGGGTGCGGCCTGCCCTGGTTCCCGGCGCTGGCGACCTCTGCGGCGCGAATGCTCCCACGGGGCTGCGTCAGGCCCGCCGTGGGGCCCCTGCAGACAGACCTGGGAAGAGAGGTGTGGAATGAGGGCCTTACAGGGCTTCCTCCAAACAGATTTTTTTATTATTCTGTTTTTCCTTACTATTAAAATTAAAGCAGCCATGAGCATTCGTAGGTAGGTTTTTGTGTGAACATCAGTTTCATTTCTCTGGAGTAAATGCCCAGTAATGCTGGCAGTTCTACGTTCAGTTTTAAACAGAACTCCCTAAATTATTCTCCAAAGTGGCTGTCCCGTGTTCCACTCCAAGAGCGACACGCGAGCGACCAGCTCGGCCACACGCTCCCCCAGCACGAGGGCTGCTGCTGCCTCTCGTCGTAGGCCCTCTGGCAGGTGCGCAGGGGTATCTCGTCCCCATTGTGACTCTCATTTGAACGACGCTCTCAACGGTCTTCTCATGCCTTCTTGCTGCCTGCATGCCTTTCTCGGGAAAGTGGCTCTTCCTGTCGTTTGTCCACGCTCGATGGGATTGTTTGGTCTTTTACTGGTGAGTTTTGAGAGTTCCTTCTATATTCGAGCCTCTTGTCCCATATATGTTTTACAAGCATTTGTTTCCTACTTCGTAGCTTGCCTTTCATCCTCTTGACAGAATCTCTCTCAGAGTACAAGTTTTTAATTTTGATAAAGTGCAACCAATCCGTTAATGCTTTAGTGGATTGTGCGTTTGGTGTCGACCTTAGCAGCACTTTGCCCAGCCCTAGATCCCAAAGGTACGATCATGTGACTTTTCTTCTTTAGCCTGTTAAATGGATGGTGGATTGTGTCGATTAGTTTCTTAATATTGAAAAAGCCTCCCACCCCTGGAAGACCCCACTTCCTCATGGTGGAGAATTATTTTTGAATTTTGTTTACTAATATTCTTGTGCTTCTCCATGCATGGAGGCTGTTGTTCTGTGGCTTTCTGTGTGTTGTCTTTGTTTAGTTTGGGTGTCAGTGTTGTATTAGCTTCATAATGAATCGGGACCTGTTCCCTTTTCTTCCATTTTCCAAAGGAGATTATGTAGCATTGGTGTGAATTCTCCCTCAAAGGGAAAATTCTCCCATGAAACCACCCAGCTCTGAAGATTACTCTCTTGAGACATTTTAAATTCACAAACCCAATGGCCTTGTAGATATAGAAGTAATTGGATTAACTACTTCATATTGTGTGCGATGTGGTACTTCGTGCTTTTCAAGGAATTGGTCAGTTTTTCCAAGTTTTCACGTGTACGTGGATTTGTGTGTAGAGTTGTTTGCCGTGGTGTCTTCTTACCCATCTGCTCTCCACACCATCTGTGGTGGTGACCTGTGCTGTTCCTGATGTGGGTGGTTTGTGTCTTCTATATGTTTTCTGGGTTAGTGTAAGCAGAGAATTGTCAGTTGTATTGATCTCTTCAAAAACCAACTCCACGTTTGCTCGATTTTCTCTATCGTTTTCCTGTTTCGAACGCCTGCTCTCATCCCCAGCATCCCTTGCTGCTGCCTGCTCCGGGTTCATCTGGCTCTTCTTCTCCTGCATTTTTGAGGTAGAAGCTTAGGTCATTGGCTTGCGACCCTTCCTCGCTCTGTGATGTGTGCTTAGTGCTATAGGTGCTCCCCTCACGCTGTGCGAACAGGGTCCCTTACGTTTCAATATGCTCTGTTTCATTTTCATTCAGTTTAGGGAACTTCTTATTTCCCCAAAGCCTCCCTCTTTGACCCACTGATTATTTATAAGTGCTGTTGTTTAGGTTTCGAGGGTTTGGAGATTTTCCTGTTATCTTTCTGATTTCTGGAGTGATTCTGGTACATTGAAAGCATGAGAGACACAAAGACCGAAACATAAAAAAAGGTTCAAGCTGCAGGATGTGTAAAACGGAATCAAGTAGCTGTGCGTCAGCGCTGTGAGGGTAGCAAAGGCATGGGTAGCCCTGAGCAGAGGCTTTGGGGAAGGGGGTCGCGGAGGGGCCCTGGCCCTGGATTTGGGAGGATCTGCTTCTTCAACACCATTGCCCGCCTCCAGCGAGCCGGGCTCCCGGTGCTGACGCAGAAGGCCTCGCGCTTCGGCAGAGGTGGGGACGGGGATGGCCGCGGTGACAGGGTGGGCCTTCGTCCAGCAACGGGACGGCTCGGACTGATGCGTACAAGCGCGCGGCGCCGCCCCCAGCCCATAAAGAGAACTCTGAGCAGTGCTGTTGGAAAACTCACCGCGTATGGGGGGACCGAGTTCTGCCACTAGTCGTGGCCCTTCACGTTCATCCACCCTGTGTGCCACGCGCCACGCGAAGCGCGGTGCGAGGAGCATTTCATTTAATCTTCACATCACCCCTGCAGGGTAGGTCTTACTCCTATGAGCCCCATTTTAGAGCTGAGCACACTGAGGTTTAGAAGAAATAAGTGACATACGTACCATCATGTAGTTAGAGCGCAACGAAGCCAGGACCCAGCCCCCGGCGGCGAGAGCGCTGAGCCTGCCTCTCGGGCGCAGCCCGCGCGGAGCGGGTGGGGCGCGGGGGGTCGGGGCGGGGTTTAGGGACGCAGCAGAAACGCTCCGCTCGGTGTTCTCATGCATGTGCGTGTTGCTTTCCAGACGTGGATGGCATGGACCTGGGCAAAAAGGTCAGCGTCCCCAGGGACATCATGCTGGAAGAACTGTCCCATCTCAGCAACCGCGGGGCCCGGCTGTTTAAGATGCGGCAGCGACGATCTGACAAATACACGTTTGAAAATTTCCAGTACGAGTCGAAAGCACAGATCAATGTAGGTATACTTGGTCGGGTGGTGGCTAAATGAATCGTCAGCCTTTCTAAACTTAGACGCATTACCAAACAAGTAGTCTACGTATGTTCTTTCCATTGATTCTGTTAGCCGTCGTTGGTTTTTCTGGCTTTGTGTGTGTGTGAGAGAGAAGGGGGGAGAGAGAGAGAGGGGGAGAGAGAGAGAGAGAGAGAAAGAGAGAATGAGAATGAATCATCTCGGTGGGTAAACCAAAGAACTGTTCTGTATGAGCGCCTCTTTAGTTCAGCGGGGCACTGTGAGCTGGCCCACTTGGCATTTGAAGCTCCCTGCCCCGCTCGGAGCAGGGGAGGGGGACAGGGACGTGGGGTCCTGCACGTGGCCACGGTCTTATCGCACCTGTTAGATGTTTGGGATGGAAGCACCACCAGGGTGCAGGGCCTGCGGGGGGCCTGCGGGGGCCTGCGGGGGCGGGTCATTGTCTGAGGCCCCCTGGCTCTGAAGGGCTGGCAGCCGCTCTCGGCCTCCGAACCAACCAGCCAGGACAGAGCTCTTTGGACAAAGGTTTCCGAAATGAAAAGGTATTAACAAACAAACGCCCTTTCTGGAGATCAATGCCATTTGCTCAAATATTAAGTATCCTTTTAAAAATGAAACACCGTAGGTGCAGCTGTGGGCTAACTCTGCTGCTCAGAAGCAGGCCAGCTCCAGCCACACACACCGCCTGGGACGTGAATAGACAGGGCAGGAAGCGAGCATTCATAAAACAAGGTGAGGCCCGTGCTGGCCACACAAGTCTGTCCTGAAGCTCTGGCTCACGTACGCGACGACTCCACACCCAAAAAGGCAAGAAAGGAAATGGGTGAAGAAAACAAACATCCAGAGGAAAAGAGAACAGACGTGCGGTTCATGATCATTAAGATTCTTTCCTATACATCACTGTAAGAGGCTATTAAGCAAAACAATCCACATTTTACAGTTAAGACTACCCATGTATTCAGTAACTAGGGACTTTTTGAAATCCCTAGAAGTCTTAAATAACATTGGGAAAAGGTAAAGTATACTATAAAAAGTATTCCTGAAATAAGACCAAACTAAATATACTGGGATTCTGAATATGTATTCATTTTTGTCCAAAGAATAACTTTTACCATGTATTTGACACAAATTATAGAACTCCTCAGGTGGGACTCTTAATTTATGGCCTTTAATTATGGTAAGTATTTGGATTTTAGGACAAAAATAGTCTTTTATCCTCACATTCCTATGAAGTGAAGTATTAAAATATAAAATTATACTTCACTCTATCGCCTTATAAGTAGATATAGAAATAAAAGGCATTAAAATATTTTCTGTCTATCTTACAAAAAAGTCAAAATTGGTCTTATTTGTTATGGTCTTTACTAAATTTTTCTTTCTAAATTTAAAAGCTAATTTGACTTTATACACTTCTTATATATTATAGATTGGCTTTTTTTAAAAGACTTACTTCCCATATATAAGTAAAACAATGCTTTATGGTGGAGATAAGGCCTAGTCATACTTCTGAGGACATAACCTATTACAATGTCTATTTTCTCTGTTAAAATGCAAATGGACTGTTATTACACTGCTTTATTATTGCCATAGAATACATACTAAGTTATGATGAGAAACAAGTTCACCTAAAACTTAAAGACAAACATCTTTCCAGCATTTTGTTTTCTAAAAATCCCAAATTCTTCATTCTATACGTTTATGCCACTTAAAGCACATTTTTCATCATACATAACTAATGTTCAAGTAGTGGATTAAAATTTTAAAACAGGACACATGAAGGAATCTAATTAAGTCCCAACTATAAATAAAAGAGTCACGTGACGGGGCCTAAGCCAGACGTTTGACCTGCACGCTCTGTACGGGTTCGTAAAGGCTTCGGCATCAAAGAGACTCACCTTAGAGGGATGCCGTGAATGGGAAGTTCAATGATTGGTCCAGAGCCTGGGCCGGACCTGGTGCACAGCAAGGCTCGGTTAGCTGTTAAGAAGTGGGTCGTCAGCAGAGAACGGGTCTTAGACTGATCTCAGCGGAACTTCTCACCCAGCAGCTCAACCAATGACCACGCAAAAGGCGCAGGCCCCGTGAACCAAGGCAGCGGCCTTGGGCTTAAACCCTGGTGGTGGGCGTGGGGGCGCGGGCGTGTCTCCTGTGGGCGTGTGCGCACTTCTGAGTTTTCAGCAGTTTCCCTCTGGTCAAACGCAGTCCAGCCTCACCGTGCAGAACGGGAAGATGGACGGCAGCCCCGTGGCGGGCGGTTCGCAGCAAGCCCCCTTCACCCCCCCCAATAGCCCGGATCCGAGGAGCACCCCGAATCCCGAAAGCATCGCGCCAGGTAACGCACCGCCTGCCAAGTAGAACAACACGGTGGCCTTTAAACGCCTGACCCGAGCCACGGGGCCCTTTAGTAAATGGTCTCAAAGTGGCGCAGCCTGCCCCGTCGTATACAGGGGCGGGCGAAAGGAGGTCCGTGGCTGGGAGTGCCCGCGGCAGGGTTTGTTTTTGTATTATTCTTTATTAATTACTGTATTTTCCCGCTGAGCCACCGCAGACCGATTTTTGCGCTCCCCGTGTTGGTTTGTGGGTGAACACAAAGCCCGCGCTCGCATTCGGACCCCAGGAGCCACGGCGAGCGCTCACAGCAGCCTCACGCTCCCGCCGGTGGGCCCTGCACGTGTGGGCCGCCACCCGGTACAGTGAAAATTATGGGGTTCGGGATGGCACTGAAATTCTATTTGTGTGAAACGGTAAAGTTTATGAACTGCTATGATACGCATTTGTCTTCCTTAATTTCGCAATAAGTCCACCATGTATGTATTCCAACCTGCATTTTACAAAATAAGAAGCCGAGGTTACCAGTGGCTACGTGTCACTGTTGACGGATGAGGACTTACATCCGGGTCTGGTATCAAATGAAGACCAACTGGGGGCAAAAACACAAAAATTAAGTCATTGCCTCAGTGGGGTTTTCAGAAATTTCTGAAAACACAAACTTTAAGACTGTCCAGTGTCTGCGGGGAGGAGCAGGGAGCGAGGCGTGGCGGTCGCGATGGTGGGGCTGGGAGCTGCGCAAAGGACAGACACCAGGCAGGCGGCTGCGTTCCCGGGGGACGTGCCGGGCCACAGAGCGGTGGCTGTCCCCCGCTAGGGCCTCCCTGGCCATTGGCAGGGGACAGAGTGGCCGAGGGCAGGCCCTGGGCGCGCGTGGAGCAGCGAGGGCGGGGGGCAACAAGCTTTGGGGGAGGGGGCCCAAGTTCTGGAGCAGGAAATGTGAGAGGGGACTGTCGGGAGGCGGGTGGATGGGTGGGTGGACCTGAGCCCCGCTGAGCGGTTTAGCTTTGTGTCCTGGGGACGTGAGTGACAGGATGGAGTTTCCCAGTGGCCGCAGGGGCAGCGGTGCGGAGGGTGCCGCAGGCAGGGCGGGCCGGGGGCTGAGAGCTCAAGGCCGAGTGTGAGGGCTCCTGGGAGAGGCGGGGGAGGGGGGAGGGGATGGGCGGGGCCCTGCCCGGGCGCCGGGATGGATGGGTGGAGGACGGAGGGAGCCCCCGGGGCAAAGTGTCCCCCGTCCCCCTTTGCAAATCACTTGGATAAGACGTGTAACCCCCCCCCCCCCCCCCCCCCGCCAAGGGCCGAGGGAAGCCAGCTCTTGGAGGGAAAACCCTAACACCTGGTGCCCATCAGCACGTCAGGCCGGGGCCCCAGGTGGTCCGGGAACACAGCATCTGAGCGCCCGGCGCCAGAGTCCTCCCGAAGGAGAGCTGGTGCCCCTCAGCACCCCGGTGAGGGGGTGCGGGTGCGAGGGGGAGTCGGGGCGCTGCTTCTGTCTTGGGCACCCGAGGGCACAGTGATGCCACCTGCGGAGGTGACCCCACCGGTGAAGAAGCAGTTGTGTCAGAAAACAGCTGCGCCCCGGGACTCCGGGGCGTTCGCCTGGGCATGCGCAGCAGGCGCCGGGACCCAAGGGCCGGGGACGAGATCCGAACTGGGGGCCACCGGGGTGTTGGTCGTCGCCCGGGTCAGGAAGGGAAATGAGGTTCTCTGGGCAGAATGCGCAGCCCCAAATGCCACCTCTACCGAACCGGCTCCAAGATGAGGGGTATTTTGTTTTCATTGCCATTTCCCGAGAGCTCAAACCACAGGCGACACTCGCTATACATTTCCAAATTAATTCATTAATTGTGACATCTAAATGCTTGTGCTAATTGTTAAAAATTAAATGAATAGTTGCACTGAACAACTATATGCTAGGATAGAGGTTTCTTTTGAAAATTCCTTTAAAGGGGCTTAAACGTGTCTAATACTTTCAGGCTTCTCTTTTCTGAGAAGTCACAAAAAGGATGTATCCTGTATAAATTTATTTTGCATGAAAATTAAACATGGTAAATGCCAGGTGGCATTGTGTGGCTCGCGGGCGCCCTGTGTTTATTCATTCTTGCTGTGTTTTTCCAAGGATATTCTGGGCCCCTGAAGGAAATTCCTCCTGAGAGATTCAACACCACAGCTGTCCCCAAGTACTACCAGTCGCCCTGGGAGCAGGCCATCGGCAGTGATCCGGAGCTTTTGGAGGCTCTATACCCTAAGCTGTTCAAGCCGGAAGGAAAGGCAGAGCTGCCCGATTACAGGAGCTTCAACAGGTAACTCGGTCGTCCTAGGCGACGCGGCCCGTGCGCCAGCCCGGTTTTCACATCACAGAGCGCGTCGCTGAATCCTCCCATGGGAAGCCCCGCGGCCTAGGGCTTGCTGGGAGGAGGGGTGCAAATGGCCCAAGCTTTTAGCGGGGAATGCTAAAGCTCTGTCATGGGAATCAAGGCGAACAAGGGATAAGTCAGGCGTCATGAAAATACATGCTTGTGCCAATCAACACAGCCGTAGGTTGGATTGAGGCCCCTCCTTTAAATCCGACTGGTTGCCATGGAACAAAAGTAAACCTCTGCAGGAAAGACGGCGCCACTCAGAGACCTGAGTCCCCGACTACGTGTTCATCCGTCGATTTAAAATTGCCGGGCGTGTTACGAGACAGGGCCCAGAGACTGAAAATGAAGAGAGAAATAGCAACAAAAGACTCCGACGTGCGAAAGATCCCACCCTTCGAATGCGAGGCGCGCACTTTAAAGTGATCGTGAGACGCTCGTTCAAGAGAAGACAAGGCCCGACGAAGGGTCCCAGTGGACTGGGAGGGCTTTTAGAAAAGGAGTCAAATGGAAATTCTACACAGATCAGAAACACAGTGACTGAAATCACGAAGTCAGAGTATTAAGTCACTGGATCCCTATAAAATTTACCAGAAACACGAAGAACAGAGAAACGCCAAAATATACCAAGGGAATGTTATAAGTACAGGCCAGTCTTGGAGGAACCGTAGGAAACAAAGGATCCAGTGTCTTCAATAGTAAAGTGTGAGGAAGGGACAAAGGGATGTTGCGGCGTAGGAGGGGCTTGAGAGACTTCATTCTGAACAGCACAGCTGACCCGTTGTGTTTAGAGATGCACCTTGGGTTATTAACATAGGAAGAAGGTTTTAAAAAGTATAAGTGTTTATTATCATGACATCAAATCATGGAGCAGGGCCCGGCGGGAGAGAGTTGTGACTGTGCAGGACGTGGTCGGTGCCTGGGGGGGAGCGGGGGGTCAGCACGGGTCGGGCGACTGGACCGCTCCCTTTGGGTAAGTTATGGAATGCGCTCATGAGGTTTTCTGTGCTTGTGTTATAGGTCACAGTAGAACTGTTTCTCAATTTTTGATCAGCATATTTCACGGCAGACGAATCGCAGAGGAGGGTGCGCCGCCCGCGAAGTGCAGCGCAGGGGGGCCCTGGGCCCGCAGTGCGGGGGCAGGAAGGCTCACGCGGGCCGGCACTGGGGGGTCCGCACGGGGGCGTGGTTAGGGGCTCGGGAGGGACCCCGGGGGGATGAGGCAAGGCCGTATCGGAGGACTTAATGGCCGAGAGTTTTTCAAAAGGGGCACAAGCCATCAACCTTGGATTCAATTGAAGTGCCCAGCGACTCGGCCCACCAGGCAAAGGCTCAGAACTCTCCGCCGGCCGGACACAGACGCACGTGCAACAGCACCTTCCAAGTCAGAGGGCCGGTGGCAACCAGCCTGGGAGTCTCCTTCCGGTGAAAATACTCTGCACGGGAGAAGTTAAAATAAAAACACACACACGCATGTTTTCAGACAAAGAAGGTGTTTAATAAACAAAAGGTGTATATATAGAAAAGGCAAAATAAAACCGCCCTATTCACAAATGACATGATGTCCTCAGGAAATTCAGCGAGCCAATTTAGTAAGGTCACAGAGGGCAAGGGCAACAAAAACGCATGGTATGTTTCTATACCAGCAACAAATAATTGGAAAATAAATAATGTTCATCGAGTTTTACCTTATGATTTATAAACTTTTAAAAATGTATCTTACATGTCAATAAATTTTTATTTAAAAAAAATCACATAGGCAACATGATCTCAATGATCATCTGGGTTTTTATAAATTAAATGTGATGAAAGCCATTCTTTGAATTAGTCCAGAGCACATTCCAATAATTTAAAGAGTTTAAAATAATTTCTAGGGACAAAGTGGGTTAATATCTTTCTTGCTATAGGTTATTTAATGGGATTTTATTTTAGCAAACTACTCAAGGTATGAGAAAAATAATTTGACCAGGAATTTAGTTCTTCACACAACTATTATACATTTTAAAAATGAACTGTAATAAGAAGTACAATTTTTCCTTCTTTCTTAAATCATTCCACATTGTTATACTAAGACTTCATTCTAATTCATGCCTCTTTCCATTTTTGCAGAACAAATGAGAGCAACAGAGAGAGAGAAAGTTTCCAAATAGTCCCAGAGCCCTTTGCAAAGAGTAAAATAAGATTATTGGGTGGCCCCACATTATTATACATAATTCTCAGGTGCTGCTCACGAAGTGTGGACGGTGAGCCGCAGTCCGGTAGGACTCAGCGAGGACAATAACCGGATGGGAAGGGGCCCCGCGTCCAACCGCGACTTTAAGATAGCCCGCAGTCAATGTAGCTCTGCAGTCCTGTGCTCACTTGGAATGTGCTATTTAAATATTATGCTATATTCAAATAATACTATATTAAACCCATGTAACATGCAAGGAATAGTGAACCGGGAGCCAGGCTCCCAGTTTTGAAAGGCCACCTGACTCTGTCCCTTAACCTTCTTTGTATCAGTTTCCTGTAAAATAGATTCTATGATGTTATGATTAAGTACCTGTAAATATATTACATACATTAGGCATTTAGTGGCATAATTTATTTTAATTTCTACAATCATTTACAACATCCTTTGCCTTATAGAACAAACAGTAATTATTAGGGGCGTAGTATAAATCCAGCATTATTAATTAGTTCAAAGTAATCCCATTGCTGATCAATCTGCATAAACAGGAAAGTGGCTGTTAAGTTGGGGGCCTTCGTGAAACGGGCATCTGGCTCTCTCCACAGACGGCCAGGCATAAAGCCGCGTTAGGTGAGACCGCGTTGGAAGCGTTGTTGCAGGGCTTGCAGGCTGCTGGGCTCTCCTCCGGCGGCCTGTTCCACACCTCCCGGCGGAAACTTTGGCTCTGCTGTCTTTGACTGAAGCGTGACCCTGTTTTCGGAGGTCTTCAGCGCCCTGCAAGCAGTCTCACTTTGAATGTTTAACATCTCTGGCAAAGGACCTTCTTTACTCTGTGTGCTGGGAGCAATAAAAATTCAAACAAACAGGATGCAGCCTCCAAGGTGCCAAAGCAAAGAGCGCCCTGCTTTTCAACCAGCAGAGGCTTTCGCCGGGTTGGCGCGGGAGGCAGGAGACCTCGATGGGACGGAAGGGGATGTTTTCATTCACAAGGGATGAAAGTGACCCACAGGCGGGGAGGGAAAACAGCACCGCCCCGGGGGAAAGGGAACAAGCAGTACCCTCGGTTCTAAACCCAGACACTGGATTTCCGTGGCCGAGGAGCCTCTCTTGCTCAATTTGGTTCAGAAAAAATAAATAAGTTAGTCGAACTCATTTCTGGAATTCACAAGCATGAAATGAATGGACCAGATTCGGCCTACACCTAGAAATGAAGCCCAGGTTTCCACTTATCTACGGAATCAGGTGTAAGCCATAAAGACTCTTCAAGTCATTACATCAAATGAGCAGATGTGGGACATTGAATCTGATCGCGGCATCGAGAACGTGGCATCGTGATAGCATCGTGATAGCATCGTGGTCCGACATCCCTCTGACACAGCCTGAGGAGACCGACATTGCCACACACACTGCACTTAGAAGGTGACCTCTGAAGGCCCAGTACTCATTGTGAAGGGTCTCACAGGGGTGTGGCACAGGGAGGTCCCAGGAAACCTGGCCTCCAGGGGGCCCGTGGGTCCGGGCTCAAACCCTGGCTCTACGCCTGAATGGGTGGGTGATCGCGGGCCAGGAATTCAACGCATGTGTGCCCCCGTTTCACCTGTCACAGAGGGACATTAACAGAACCAACTCACAAGGTTGTGAGGATTTAATGACACAACCGGAGCCTCAGTGCTCAAAGTGTGGCCCAGACCAGCTCAGGCCTCTCGCGGGAACTGGTCAGACACAGACTCTCCGGACGCACCTGCGCTCAACCAGCGTCTGCGCTGCAACGAGGGCCCAAGGCGACTCCGGGTCCAGGAGCGTTTGAGGAGCACGTCAGACGGGGGCTGGTGCCCAGTGCCCAGTCCCTAACCGTTAGCTTCCATCGTTGTCTCTGCCTGCTGACGTTTCATAATCGTGGGGTGCCTGGGTGCTAGTCAGGCCTCGGTCACATGCTAAGATCCACGACCACTGAAGCCCCTCTCGCGGCCCTGCCTGCTGACAGAGAGAGCCCAGCGGCAGGGGTCCGGCGCAGGAGGGGTGGGGCCGCGGGGGGGCGGCTGGCGGGTGGCTGGGGAGCGGGGCCGGACACGCTGCAGGCGGAGCGTGGGCGGCGGGGAGGAGACAGCTTCTGCAGGAAGACACCGTGGGCGCAGGCCCAAAGGCAAGACGTGTTTGTGACAGTCTCCGGGGACAGGGAGTAGATTAGTTTTGTCCCAAACCAAGAGTACACCAAGGGCACCTGACACCAGTTTGTTGCCGGTGTCTGTCGTGAAGGGCTGGTCCTTACATGGAGCTGCTGGTCTCAGAGGTCAAAAACGGAAGGGCATGTGGAACACAGCATAACATGCTGGTAAAATGATGCATGAAGCTGTTTCCTATTTTCCAGTAAATACACTTGAAAGTTAATTTTTTCTTTTTCTTTTCATTTCCCACAGAGTCGCCACCCCATTTGGAGGTTTTGAAAAAGCATCCAAAATGGTTAAATTCAAGGTTCCAGATTTTGAGCTACTACTTCTAACCGATTCCAGGTTCATGGCCTTTGAAAACCCTCTTTCTGGCAGACGGTCCTTTAACAGGACTCCTAAGGGGTGGGTCTCAGAGAATATTCCTATAGTGATCACAACGGAGCCCGCGGAGGACGCCCCTGTGCCGGAATCAGAGGACCTGTGAGCGGGAGGGGCGCCGCGAGCGCCCAGAGCCCCCGGCGCGGAGGTCGCTGTCTGGGCTTCCACCTCCTGGCAACGCCGCCCACTCTCTTCATCAGTAGCGATAGTTTACTAGACATTTAGTGCTTTTCCTTTGACAGCATTTAATTTCAACCTCAGCTCAAATACTAATAAACAACTCGTAAGCTTGTTTTAAAAACTGTTAACTCACTTGTCTCGATGCCTCCTTTTGTTTTCCCTGGTCTGAATAACCCAGCCTTTTCCCTGATAAAGTCCCGGAGGACAGACAACAAAAGCTTCCGTCCTGTCTCCTTGCAGACGACCTATTCCCCAATAAGCTTTTCAAATGGAATCTAGAACCGAAAGACAGTCCAGATATTTAGGCTCATTCCACGTTTTGTTTCAGGCATGAAGGCTAAGGAAGACGGTGTACAGACAGTATTGGTGGAGAAGGGTGGGTTGGGCCGGGTTCTTCCTGGTGACCAGGACGCAGCCCCACGTCTGGCCGAGGACGTTCATTAGGCATTCGCAGAGATTCCGAAAGGCGTAGTCTTCTTCCGCGGCCGGGAATCGTGGGGTCACTATTCCAGACCCTCCCCAGCGCTCAGCGGCCATGTTACCGCACTTAGCAGCGGTCAGGAGACAGAAGGACTCCAGGAGCCCCCGCTGCCTTGTTCTAACGGCCAAGGCCACCGGCATTCCAGCTCCACACGCCCCAGAGCTGCGTGCCGATGAGGTTCAACTTCCTGTGCACATCTCTAGAAGAGGAAAGACCCATAAAATACACACTAGTATACATAGAAATAAATATATGTATACGGGAGAGGGAGGAAGAAATTTGAATTGGCAGCTGTCTTTGATGAACCTTGAAAGTCTGCTCACATCCTGAAGCACTAGGGAGTCCATGCTGCAAAACAAACAAAGCCAAGAAAGAGCAGGGCCTGAAAACATCTGAAACTGACATCACACGCAGCTCCCAGGAAAGGTGTCACTATATGGGTGTAAAGGACTCCGTGTAAAGGGACAGAGGTATCTTCCAATATGACTGAGGAAGTATGGAGCACAGACCGATCACACAGTAAGTATCAATTCTTCCCATCTGAATTCCCTGTTTTGCAATTGATGTTTCGACGGAGAGGGAGTGACCCATCCGCAGGAAAAAGCTAGTGGCCAGATTACGTTCAGCAGACGGAACAGAGAGTGCACCGCAGAGGGAGGGAAGGCCGCGCAGGCGCGCGGCTCACGCACAGGGTCTACATGTGGCGCTGGAACCGGTGGCGGCCTTAACCATCCTGCAGGCTTGTGAGTAGAGGAATAAAAACGTTTTCTTCTTGTGAAGAAGGCAATCCCTAGAAAGTAATCATATCAAAGCATTGTATTTATACATATCACTGAAGATAATTGGTATGATTTAAAATATATCTTTAACATATATCACTTTATATATGTTTCAGTGTTTACCTGTTTTAAAGTAATAATGTTGGCACCTTTGATAAACACGAGATCCCATGATGGCATTTTTTGTTCATTTTAACCTTTTAAAAATAAAAATGACTCATTCTGCTATGTGTTTTGCGGAAATAGCTTAGTTTTTATTGGGAGTTTGAAATGAGTTGCTTCTTCTCATTAACTTGGCATTTTATTTCATGGTTTTAACCTCCTCTGAATGGGTCACCATTCAGTCAGCCTCTGAAAGGGGCCAGCGATTGGACACGTCAGCTACAGGCGAGGGCTCCCCAGTGCCACAAAGGGGAATTTAAAACAGCAGAGGCCAAGTTTTTTCTTTTCTTTTTTTTTTAAGATTCTGTGGAAAATGATGACATAACCCTCTCTTCACTATTGTGTTCCTTCCTTTCCTGGAAGTGTCTAGTAATTCCGCGCAGCTGTTCTGACACCTTTAGAAATGCCAAAATTTCACACTCCAGTTGCCATACAATTAAGAATTCAAAAGGAATTTTTATTGGGTTTTCCATGGACCTGAAAAGCAGCTACATCTTTCAGAGTCTGAAGAAATAGGATTGTCTGTTTAGAGCCTCAGAAAGACTGGCACTTTCCCCTACTCACTGCTTTATAAAGGCTATTTGACACATATTTTAATCTTATTTTATCTTCACAATTATCCTGTGAAGACAGTATTATAAACAACCTCCATTTTATATAAGAAAATCGAGCCTCAGAAAACTAAGGTGATTCCCTTGATTCTGGCTCAAAATGGGAAGACTTTGGCACGTCTGGCTCTAACATATGCATGTTCATTACTCCTCTTTCAGAGTAAAATTCAGCCTTGAACTATTTTATTACATCTAGACAAACAAACCGACAAAAAACCCTTCATTGTCTTGACTGGGCAAATCCAGCTATAAACTGAGGTATTTTAGGCTCACCCTCCCAGGCGGTCAGGCTCTCCTCCTCCTGAAAAGCCGAGCTCCCAGGCTGGGGGGCAAGCGCCCTAACCCGAGCGAGCCCCGCGCACGTCTAACTACGGAGCCAGAGGCTCAGCGGCGCCTCCCGGAGCAGCCGCCCACTCCCGCCCCGCCAGGGCTGGTGGCCCAGGGGCAGCGCGCCAGGACGTCCTCCAGATGCGAGCACCGCCACGTTCGAGCTCTAGGGCCGTCTCCCCGTGTCCACTAGATCATCCGACAGACGTCTGGGTCGTGAAACTAATGTCCTCTCCTATTTAGCCCGTTTCTTGATGACCAGCTGGCCCATTGCTCGCTCCATAACTAGACCTTCTTGAATAATAGAACTACGACTACAAACAGATCCTTCTTGTCTGGCCCCTCTCTGCCGCCTTCAATCACTCTGTTTGCCACTCCTGAATGTCTGAAGGGACTTGATAATTAAAAAAAACCAAAAAACAAAAAAGCCCCAAAAACTAGTTATCGGCTATTACAAAATCGAGTGCAAATACAAGCAATAATTTTTAGTCGAAATGGCCATCGATTGCATCCCCTGAGGATTCCACAAATGGAAGCATTTAGAAACACGTCAGCAGCCCGGGCGGGGAGGGAGCCAAGCATTTCCCACAAAGGCTGCTGCGGGATCTGGCCGTGAGTGTGGAGAGAACAGGGTGAGCTCACTGCTCGGGCACAGCGGTGCCCGCAGACTTAGGAATTCTGGAATTTCCCCTCTGCTGCTGATGCAAGAGCAGCCTTACACCCCATCAGCGCAGCCTCTCCCCCGCAGCTGCTTCCTGCCAAGTGTAGGGAAGCGGGGACATGAATCCTCCCTTACGGAAAATACTTCAAGCTCCGCAGGCTCCGCGCCGTGGAAAGACGGCGGCTCACTTTCTGTGAGAGGTGGGCAAGGGCCAGCCCTTTGCCACCAGAGCAAGGGGATCTGCTCCAGACTAACAGACCCCAGCACAGGGCAGACAGGCCAAAGGGTTTTTAGAAAGTTGTAGTGCTTCCAAAGGTGAAACTTTTCAGGACTGAGAAAGAATAAAATTGTCTCAGGGTTTCAGCGGCTGAGATGAATTCAAGGGTGTGTCCCTATTTAAATTCCTTAAATAGAAGAGCTAGATTTCAGCCCTACCTGCAAACTTTCCCTGATTTCAATGGCAACATTTGCTACAAAGAGGGGGAACAAAAGTTCTTTCTAAAAGGTTATAGTTCAGATCCAAAGAGGATGTGCTTTGTGATTCAGCATTGCATGGTATTTTGAAACACATTTCAAGGACAAGTTACGCAGGGCAGGCGATAGAGGCCCTTCAGGGGACAGGGCAGGAAAGGTCAGAAGGAAAAAAAATAAACTCGGTGTCATGCCCTGTTTGAAAGCTGCTGATTTAAGAGTTGGTATAGACACTGCAGCACCAGCAAGGTAAGTATAAAAGGACCAGGGGCCGGGAGGGCGGGGAGAGGCCGGCCGAGGGAAGCGCAGCCGGCCGCGCAGGCTGGCAGCGGCCTCAGGCTTCCGGCGCAGCGGCCCTGGGTCCGCCTCCGCAGCCGACGGGAGGGCCGACTCCCAGATATTCCCGCTGCACTTCGTCGCAACCCCCTTGCAAATACGTGTGAAAGTGGCGGGTTGAAAGACGCCAGCTACCTACGGATCTGCCGAAAATTGGTGACATAATCGCAATCAATTTACTTCCCTCTGAAAGTCAGCGTTTTCTTCACCCTGACTTACGTGGCTCAAAGGCCACTTCTGCCCGGGGCCTTCTCCGACCGCCCTCTGTAAGAGGCCATACTGCTAACCTGCTGTCATGTTCTTGCTTTTCTGTGTAGCACTTATGACTCCTTCACACCATGTTAGGCTAGTCCGGGTCCTCTGAGAAGCAGGTGCCAAAATGGGGCTAAACCTGCAAAAATGTTATTAGCGAAACTGTCCGCATGCGAAAAAAATGGGGGGAGAGAGTCGAGAGACCTCCCATGGACGTGTTCTAGATATGGGCTGGTCTAGATGCAGACGTGCTCTAGACAAAGGCTTGTGTAGACACGGGCGTGTTCCAGACACGGGCGTGTTCCAGACATGGGCGTGTTCCAGACATGGGCGTGTTCCAGACGGCCGTGCAGCCCAGGGAAGATTTCCTCGAGGCTGCCGGGGCTCCTTGAGCCAAAGCCACCTGCCGGAGAGGCCCTGTGTTTTCCAGAAGCAGGCCTGCCTCAACGTTACCGCCTTGGTCAGCCGCCGGCTGGAAGCAGACGGTGGAAGACAGCCTCGGCGAGAGGGCCCCGCCGCGGCCAGCGCACAGAGCTGGGGCCCCGGCCGATGGCGTTGCCGACGGTCTGCGGGATCATGGCTGCCGCACGGGGTATGCGAGCCTGTGTTTATTCCTTTACTGAGTACCTCACCCGCCAGAGTGAACTCCCTCGGAGGCAGGGACGCGGCCTTTTTATTAACTGCTGCACCCTCAGTGCCCGGAACATAGTGAAGAACAGTGAAAACCTATGAAGTAGATAAATGTGTCTGAGTTAGGAGGATGATACTAGTATCCATCTTAAAAATACCACATGATAAAGTACATTACCCACTCCATGGCAAAGGCTTGATAAATGTTCATTACTCTCATTAACAAAATAAAAAATTTTCCGCATCACACAGTAAGAAAGCCAGGCAGTTAGAACCGAACTCGCGGTCGCACCGGAACCACTTTGGGGTGAGCACGCGTGGCGCTGGCCGGGGCCTCACCCGCATCTGGGCGACGAGGGTGCTCAACGCGCTTTAGA